CCCGGAGCACGGCATGAAGTGGACGTCTTTCTTTGGATTGAAGCCCACTTTCTTCAAAAATGGCACCAGTTTCTCCTTACACTCTTCGTACCTGCGGGTTCAGACAGGGGGGTGTCAACCTCTTCACAGCACAGCAGCACGACACAAAGTGACCACCACATGCATCAGCAGTGGGTGGAGCACAATGTGGCATGTGCAGCACCAGTGAGGTCAAATGCTGACAGGATGAGTGGAATTAACCTCTGACTCAGTCTCCACAATAAACAAGTTTTATTTCAAAGTCCTGTTGAAGTAAAAGTGAAACAGCATGTAGAGGCCAGCAGAACAGAGGATTCCCAGTAATCGCTGGGACGACTCAGGACAGAGTTAAACACTACATTACTATTGTTATTAATAAAAGTAAACCCACTAATGATCTCATTACAGATTAAAGACATGTGTATATGTATACATGCAGACTTTAGCTGCTGTCCAGACCTGTCCAGGCTCCAGTTGACGGTAGGATCATCCATTTTATTCACCAGAACTATCAGGTGCTTGACTCCGGCTGTTTTGGCCAACATGGCGTGCTCCCGTGTCTGTCCACCTTTCTCAAAGCCGGTTTCAAATTCACCTTTCCTGGCAGAGATCACCTGTGGGACAAAACACTCACTCACTTTGTGCCACAGCCTGGTGTAACGCCATTAAACAGATAACAAATACATTAACAACAATAAAGACGTCAGAGCTATCCCAGCTGTCACATGGTAAGGACGGTACACACTGAGCAGGGTTATGAACATGAATAATTCTGAGCACTGACATTTTTATACTTTTAACTTTGTCAAAGTTTAAAAGGATTCAGTAACTAGTGTAGTTTTTCAATCCTGTCATACTTTGGAGCACTGGGAGGGAAAGTATGTTAAGCACAGATACTCGAGTGTGTACGAACAACTATGGTCACAGATGTTTTTGAGAGGTTGGTTATACTGAATAAAGATGGAACCAAACTCTTCACCTGAGGCAAAAACACAGGCAGGGTGTGAAGGCGTTGCAGTTAGAGTTAGCTGATGATGTGCAACCAGGAGCAAACAAACAACTCAAGCAAGCATCGCCAGCTGCTGCCTGACAGGAAGAGCCCACGATGAAAGCAGGACAGCTGGCTAAAAAACTCAGACACAAAATCTCAGGCAGAAAAGTTTCCAGCTTTATTCTGTGATAACACCTCGACTTCTAATGAGTTACAATGTGACTTCCTTTAGTTATTGTTAAACTGACATGTTACGCAGTTGTGTTACACTTTTACTCCAAATTCTCAGAAAACATCTGAACTATGTTGTGTTTTAGTCGACTCACACTTTGAATGTAGTATCAGCAGAGTGGTTGATGACACTTCACTTA